TGGGGAATGGAGGCATGAGTAGGAAGGGAAAGAATATGAGACTATACACTTTGGCTTTGTTACATTATGGAATATATGCTCAAAGTATAAGAAATGATGGCTATATCTAATGAAAACATGCCACAGCTGCCACATGGAAGCCATTTCACATAACTGCCTCTATTGGCCATCTCTATGCTGCCATTTAAATAATGTATATAGTCTGATTTCTGCAACAGTGGTATCTGCAATTTTCTGAATAGGAAGCTTGTTAGCAGAGACACTTGAGTAATCCAGATGGAGTCCAGAGAGAAAAGAAACTGATAATTCTTTACTGGATAAACTGAACAAAAACAGTGCATAATATAAGGAATAGAGAAGCTGTTTCCTTCATGCCGGGTTCAGTCTTAGTTCAGAACTTGAAGATATTCAGCAACTAGTTATGCAGAGGGAAACACCCTCAGAACTACACAGCTGATCAGCACATGCCTTACCACAGTGAAGATCATGCCATTCAGACTGGCTGCTATGCAACACTTCCACCAACACCCTCTTGGTTGGCTGTCTAGCTGTCAACAATGGGGAAATGCAGCAGTATGGCCAAAAGGTTCCCAGGCGCAAATAGTAATGAAAGCAAGGTCAAATATTATCACCCTGATAGCATTTAGAGCACAAACCTCCAGGAATGCACAATAAAAAGGGTATGTGGAGGACCCTGTGAAATCAGTGAAATCACCAAGTCCTTCTGACAGTGCTGTACATAGATGGGCTCATTTCTGAACCAGTTCTATAATTTGGCATTTTTATAACATTTATAGAATCTTTGCACAGATTCTTTTCTCTTTTTTTGAAATATTTTTATTAAAGATTTTCCTCCAACTACAAAGAATGTGCACCATCTTTCACTTTTTTCTTCTTGATCAGATTATAAAGTCTTTTGGTTATGTTCAATGTAAAATGTGAAACAATATGATATCCAAAGGTAGGGGAAGAGGGGAGAGGGGGAGCGGTAAAGTTATACACTATCTTGTTGTTTTGTCAACTTGGTACGTACGTGGGGGTTTTATGTCAGTGTCAATTGAGTAGGTCCTCTTTCTGTATACCTATTGGTTTACATTGACAATGAGAGAAGACTGAGGGGCAGGGCGTGTTTATTTGCCTTTAACTGCCTCTGATGAATTGTAGTGAGATTTGTTTGCGGTTGCAGAAGGGGGGAATGAAATATTAGGTCAGGTATAGGCAAACACGGCCCTCCAGATGTTTTGGGACTACAACAACCATCATCCCTGACCACTGGTCCTGTTAGCTAGGGATGATGGGAGTTGTAGTCCTAAAACATCTGGAGGGCCGAGTTTGCCTATGCCTGTATTAGGTCAAGTTAATCATATTGATCTGTATGCTGTTGGTAGATCCCTGCTACCTCTGTTGTCAGTTTGAGCTGTGTAAAAGGGAGCCATACTGGGGTGAAGGTGTCCTCTTTCTTTTGCCCTTGTGTCAGTTTTAGTTTGTCGATTAACTCTTCTAATGAGGCCATTTCCCATACAATTTGGTACCAATGGTCCATGCTTACTCCAGTGTCTAACTATGACATTTCTGGCTGCTGAGAGTAAGTGGGTTATAAGCTCTTTATGGTGAACATTATTGTATTGGAAAATATTTAATAGGGCCAATTCTGGAGTGGGTTCCAATACCTGTTTAGTGATGTTACATATTTTTTTGTAGGACTGCTATCCAAAAGGGTTGGATTCAGGGACACTCCCACCACATGTGAAGGTATGTGCCTGTAGAGTTACAGCCTCTCCAGCATTTTGGTAAGGTTCCTGGATGTATTAACGCCAATTTCCTCGGTGTCAGATGCCATCTATACATAAGTTTCAAAGTGAGTTCTCTTCCTTTGGCTGAGATGGATTCAAAGGGAGGTTTGGACCAAACTGTAGTCCATTGGGTATAGTTTATTTCGTAATCTATGTCATGTGTTGAGTGAGATTGTGGGGTTGTGAAGTAGTATTTTGTATATTGCAGGTACCATCCCCCTACCATGTCCCTCTGCTGACAAAAGAAGGCTTTCATAGGTGGTCAAGGGCCTAGTGGTTGGTTGCTGCTTTTACTGCTAGGTTGTTTAGGAAGGTGTGTAACTGATGGTGTGTTAGCCAGGGTACCTGAATGTCTCCTAATTTATCATGTAATTCCAGTGCTGATATGGTGGTTGTTGGTTTTGTTTTTTTAAAAAGTCTGCTAGATGGTGTAGATCTTTGGTTTGCCATTTTTCTATGTGAAAGGTTTGGGCTACATGACAAAATAATGGATGATGAGCCAAGGGAATTGGTGGGGATGGGGTTGCTGACAATGTACCTACTTTTCATTTCCAAGCCTTAACCATGGATAGTGTGAATCTATTTAGTGTTGAGGGGAGTCTTCTCAACTTGTGTTGGAGGAATGGGTATGCAGTAGTGGGAGTGTTTTCCAATGTGTCCATCTCTAAATGTACCCATTGCTTGGTCTCATCTTCCAAAATGTATGGGATTATATGGTGCACTTGATTTGCGATGTAATACAATTCTGTGTTGGGAATTCTCAAACCCCCTTCGGGGGGTGTGTGCACAGATTCGTTTCTCTATCTAAAAGGAATGCTTCAGAAAATGTAAGGAAGACCAAAACTTTCCTGTTGAATGGCCTATAAAATCCCAAAGAGAAGAGATTTTAAATATTAGTAAAACTAGAGATGATTGGATGGAATCAGGGCTGCTGCCAGCCCTTGACATTCTCAAACAGCTGCCAGGGTGAGTGGCCATTTTAATTGCCAACACACTGCCTGTAATGTAGTATTGCTCTGAGGCACTGTGAAAATCAAAATGGAAGCAATACCCTGACTCCTGGTGCTATTTAGAGTACTGTTGCCCTCCACTGCCAGATAAACTGACCAAGGAGGGAATTTGCCCTAGGCCTTTTCAGAGCTCAGTTGGTAGCATTCATAGTGCAGCCTATACAAATGAGCACCTGCAATGGAATACAATGGAGGAAACAAGTAATTATTTTTCAGAGTGCCAAGCATGAACAGAAGTACCAAGAGGCCTTTAAGCACAAAAAGGAAGGGAAAAGAAAACAGCTATGGATTTTTAAAGGTCAATTTGCACTTTACATTTGGAGATGACTCTATGTTTAGGTAGTGAGGCAACTGCCAAAGACAGCAAATGCTATAGGATGGGACACAGCAGTGTTGGAGGATAGGGCTGTGTGTACCACAGCACCCCCAATACTAAGTTGTTGCCCTCAGGTGCAGTGCAAGGTGCTGTCCTGTTGTTGGTGCTGAAATAACTGCCAGTTCCTTCAACTTCTTGTGGAAATGGAAGAAGAAGCAGGAAAATGTATTTGACTGCCCTGATTACATGTTCCTACATGCAAGTCCATATTCATGTACAAGAATTGATGCATTTTTGTAACTCAGTACTGGCCTTTATATGGAAAGTAGTGATGGTTGGGGGGTGGTGAGGAAGAGGGAGAAGGGTGTAACACATACAGAGAAATATTTTTTTTGTTCCTTGCCACAGAACACTTAAAGAGTATGATGCTCCAAACATTTACTGTTTGGAGCATAAACTCTATGGAGCTTTTATGAGTCAGTTTATTTCAAAGCCTTAATTTACTTCAAATTGTTCTGTGATATTTACAGATTTTGTATCAGAATATCCATGTTCCCTGCCAATGATTGCTTGAGCCCTTATATCCCAACTTGATCACTGAGAACATCTATGGGGACATTGCTGGTCATTTCCCATGCTGGTCATTTCCCATGTTTGTGAGGCTTGTTTGGCAACAACAAGTCACTGAACCTTTAGTGTCATCAGCCCAGTCCTGTGGAATACTCTGCTAATAGACACTCAGCGGGCGCCTTCTGTGCCAACTTTTAAATGCCTGATTTTTTATTCCACCAGGCATATGCAGACAATTAAGAGTACAACTCCCACAATGGTTTATAGATGTTTGTTTTTAACTTTTTAAATTTTAAAATTGTTCTTATGCTTTTATTGCATGGTTTCTATATTTTTGATGTTGTAAACTGCTTTGATATGTTTTGTGATTTTGTGGTATTTAAATACTTTTATAAATAAATAAGACATAAACAACCCTAATTTCATTAATAGCAGAAAATAATTATGAGTGGAAATGTGGGGCCATTTTTAAAACTAATGGGTAAATTATCCATGGCTGATGAGGAAACATCAAAATATATGCTTGTTGGGACAGCCTCAATCAAGCTTTGCCAAGCTAACTTTCCACTGGTACAAAAAAATTAGCAGCAGTGATTCAGGTATCTGGACTTTTGTTCAGTTGGTTTATTAGTACTGAATCACTTCCGGCTGAACTGGTAGACCTGTCCTCCATGGTCTGAGGCACCTAAGCTTGTGGCAGTGTATTCCATAAATTAATACTGTATGTAAAGAAGTACAGGCAATCATATTCTTTGGTTAAGCCTCAATATGGTGACTTAAACTAAACTGGCCTAGAGAAGTAGTAATGTTCTTTCCTCCAAACATATCCTATAAAAAACACAAAAAAGAAATAGCCAAGCAAGTTTAAAACTGGCCAGGTAGCTGGCATCCTTCTTTCATTTTGTTTTGTTACAATTGCATTTCCAAAGCTGTCAATTAATTCTAACAACAATTTGACCTCTGTGTCTCTGAAAATCCAAGTCTGGGAAGGGAGTCTGTTTAATTTCATCCGCCTCATCAGATGTGTTTTCTTGTTCAGTTGAATTCTCAAGAAAAGTTTGTTTCTTTAAAGTACAAGAAGTGCTATTAACTCAGTGTCTGCAACTAGTTGAAACACACACATAAAAGCTAGGGAGTCCAGGTCCTCCTCAAGCTGGAAAAAGATAGGATGAAAATATTCTCTCTCAAATACTATTTCTGAAGAAAGCTTAAGTCACCCCTTCAGTGTAGGCAGTAGCTCTCACAAAGAACATATAAAAGCATTTATTTGTATTAACACTCAGTCTTCCTTTTTACTTTTAAAATTGTTTTAAGGTGATTGGTTTGGGATTTCTCCACTGTTTTTTAAAAAATACACAGAGTCTAGTGCCAAAGTTTGTGCTATAGAAAATAGTTAGTCTTTAAAGTGCCACAAGATTCTTTGTTGTTTTTACTGCAACAGACATGGCTACCCCCTCTGGAAACTGTTTACTGATGTAAGATGTAGAAGGATAATTGCTGATTAATTCTGAGGCAAATTCTTGAATCACTGGTCTAGGTATAAGGGCTGCTTCCCACATTCTTCCTACATAGCCCAAAGCAAAAATATTGCTAGATTACAACTTCCACCATCCTTGACCACTGGCCATGCCAGATGGGGCTGATGGGGACTGCAATCCAACAGCATCTGGTTGTTGCAATGCTGCGTATGAACACTCATGCCTCTAGCAAGAAGACATTGTACTGTTTTTGCTGCAAGAAAAACTAGCTAGTTACTAAATTACAGAAGCAATTATAAAAACAGATCTCCTTTCCTATACATATAGTGTGTTTGTTTAAGTCAGGGATGGGGAACCTGTGACTACTACAACCACCATCATCTTTGACCACTGGACATTATTGCTGGGGTTGATGGGAGTTAGAATTCAACAGCAGAGTCCCCATCCCTGGCCTAGTTCATATTGCCTAGAAGCAGGACAATTTGAACATTATTTCTGGCAGATTTCTTCTACAGCTCAAAATAAAAAGGGGGGATTCTGCACATTTGCAGAGAGAAGTATTTGACTTAAGTCTGTTTCTTAATCCAAGCTGACACGCATTTGCTGCTCATACAGAGCTCAGCAACTGCACTGAAGGGAGTGAGATGGGTTAAGACTGCATGAGCCATTGCTGAGCAAGCCCAAGGCCTGGAGTTAGTCCACCCAAGCTAGGTGGAGATCTCCCATCACTTCTTGGTCACAAGCAATCCAAGGCTTGGGTGAAGGTAAAAGAACTGGAAATAGAAAATGTTCTGATAATTTGACTGATCATCTTGAGAAAAACCCAAAGCAAATACAGACCATACACTTCCTAAACTAGTGAAAATGGAAACAGTGATCTTAAGCCACCACTTTTTCAGAAATGTATAAAACATAAACACAAGTCTGACCTTAGACCCAAAAGAAATATACCTGAACATGGCAAAATAGTATGAGGTAGCAAATACCATACATATCAATCATTATTTGGACAGAGAAGTTTAATAGATTCTTCCTGCTGGCTTTCCAATTTGGGGTGTAGAACAAGAACTTCACATCTGCCTGCAGCAACCACACTGGAAGATTAAATAATTTAGAACCATTAATGAATAAAGAACACAAATAGCCTCTACAAGCTTTTTGAGAAAGAGAGAATTCCCAAGAGTTGCCAACCATTAAAGCTGACCACAGAAATCAATAAACAACATCATTGATAGTCCTCAGGCACTGAGGCTAACCTGTTGAGCTGGCAGAATCTCACCCCAATCTAACTCTAGTTGTAGACTGAAAAGATATGAGAGTGTAACTAGCTGAGCCAAAATTGGGATGCATTTGTTGAAAATAATGCAGTAGAGATGCATTATCAGAATACACAGATGTCTACATTCAAATGTGCGTTAGATTTATACTCATTGTTCCTGATTCAGAAAGTGATACAAACATGGAAACCTGCTTAAGCGTGTAGATCTCCTTAATCAGGGAAGTACTTGAATGGAGCCGCCTGTTTGCTTTTTTATCATTTATGCAGTTTGTTCCACATTGTTCTGTGTTTGTGGTGTTATGGTATGTGTTATCAGATAAAATAAAAATTCTCAAGAGTTAATTACCCCCTGTAAGCAAGTAAGCATAGGATGTGATTCAACAATTACCGTGCTTCCAAACAGGGATGGGGAAAGCTATGCCTGTTCCAACTTAAATTTTTGACGTGTTTTTCACAGCATCCATGAAATCTAATCACTTATCTATTCAGTCCATATGAAAGTAGTGGTGGCAAGGAGGAAATGGGTATAAAAAGATACCAACATAGCAGATGTTCTTGGCTGCAAAATGTATTTAAATAGAGTTTGAAGACTAAAGAATTGTTTAGTCCAATTCTCCCTTCATAAAATTATTTATTCATTTCATTTATGAATCACTCACAAAGCATTAGAACCAACAATTGTGTAGAATCAAGAAACAGAGGCTGGGAATGGAGGCACAGTGAGCAACTAACTAGGAATGAAGCAGACTGAAGACATCTGACTACTGGAAGCTCCAATAGCCCCCCTCTGGATTTTAATAACATCTTCTTACTTTGCACTGTACACCATGGGGCTGATTCCCCATGCAATACATGCAAAGTATAGCTCCTTTCATGTGATCTTCCAACCATGTGGTCTTAATGCATGGGGGGGGGAGAGTAGGATTTCACTATTACTCTTGCCCTCAACTTCCACATGCTTATTATAGGCCTGTGTGCAACAGAGCCTGGATGCTTGCAAGTTGTATGCATGTAGCCCCTCCTCACACAATTGTGGGGTTTACTTTATATAGAGTTTCCAACTGTGTGGAGCTGTCCTATGCAAATATAATTTGAACTCTTGTAGGCTCCTTGCATAAAAGCATAGTTAATGTTTGGATGTCAGGAATATGGACAATGGCATGATGCAGTTGTTGTTTTTTAGCATTCAGTTGAGATGGTTGGATGTCCATGTGAAAAAGGCTATTCTTATGTGCAAATGGCACACATGCGTTGTGTCCAATGCTAGTCCAACTCAGAGTAGTCCCACTGAAATGAATAATCATAACTAACTTCAGTTCATTAATTCCAATAGGTCTCCTCTGAGTAAAACTTAGCTGGACACAATCCCATGTTTATAAACGCCAGCTAGATAAGCACAAGCAGTGGCATGGGAAGGATCTGGCTACCAGTTGCAAGTCTTTTGCTATCAGTTGCAATTTATACACATGTGCCACATTCATAAATGATGCTGTTTGCATTTACTTTGTACCTGGAAATTGGCTGACAAATATAAAAAGCATTATAGCAAACTGTCATAAATATTTAATAAAATCTACTCAGAAGTATTCATACTTTCCTCTGAATCCATGAGAGCAAAGAATAATAATAAAAATATTCCTTTTTTAACTATGAATGTTCCCAGAGTCTCCCTTACCTGAACATAGTCATATAGTTTTCCCCCTTTTAATAATGAAATTTCACTGTAAAATAAAAATTAAAATATAGGCAATAAAAATAGATGTTTATTCTGTGAATATTCAGCATCTGGTATGGTTATGGTCATAGCCTGTTGTAGTTTCTTGTGACATCCTTTCTCCAAGGTTGATTCATGCTTTAAAATTAATTAAACCAAGGGGTGTTTATTTTATGCTTAAATGTTCAGAATTCCTCCTTACTCTTGCTTTGCATGATGTGTCATCTCTGTTTGTTCTGTTTAGCCCTCTTGTCGTGAGGAAGCATCTAATGGCTCGAAAACTATTCCTATTTAAAGCTGCTATTTGCAGCCATGAGAAATTTTCTGGATGATTAAAACACTGCTTGAAAAAAATTGTTTTCCTTGGGCTAAGTTCAACTTAAGAGTCTATTTCCATTCCCTTCTTGTAGAAAGCACACAAAACATCTCAGGCCTCAAGGCTGAATCACAGAAAGATTCCCAAATAAAGCTTGAACCCCTACCCCGCATACACACCATCTCCAGTCATGTCAACCATTCTTAAGTACACACATTTCCATAAAGATCAAAGCAGAGATGATAATAAAACCCATAATAAAGCATTAAGTAATAATGTTATCAACAAATTAATGTTTGATGATGCATTCAGTTGTATATACACACTTGTCCCTTCACTCTTCTCTCTTTCAGAGCTGAGGTAATATGATAATTTTGGTAATTGAAACGTTAATATGCCACAGAGGAGAAGAACTAACAAAACAAATCCATTTTGGGACTTCACATAAAATCCATCACTGAATACAATTAAAATGGAGGAAGTATAAAGCCAACTTTAATAGGATGGTGGTAAAAACATAAAGCTGAAGAGTTGCTTATACCCAGTCCTGCACAGGAAGTTGAACGGATAAATTCAGTATGGGTTCAGTTCAGTATGGGTTAGCTATGATTAGCATTCATTCAAATTTAGTTCTAGTTTAGTACCCTTTCTTCCAAGCTGGATATCTATAGCAACAATGTCCCGGGTGTCTTTCTGACCTCCATACCCTCCTGAACTGTTTTGTTATCGTAGGTTGGATAATGTAAGATGAGAAAAAATATATATTAAGTCTGATGAAAATATGTGGCCTTTCACCTGGAAGAAACCTCCCAAAATGTGTTGCTCAATAAAAATCAAGCTCTCAGTGCAGGAAAAGTGGCAGCTGTATCATTACCACCCAACAGCTCTCCCTACTCTGTTTGGACAGTTGTGTCATCAGCAGCCAATGGAACAGTCTTCTCTCTCTCTATGCTCCAACAAGAATGAGCTCAAATGCTATTGGGTATGCACATTTTGTGAATATTTTCTCCCCCATGAAATGCTCTCCCTTTACAGGAACTTCACAGGGGACAGCAATAAAGATGAAAACTGTTTTGTATTGCAAGATCACCCTCCACCATATATTTTGATGCCCCTGGTCCCTGGCATTCAGATAGCTGCACTCCAGAGCAGGGTAGGTATTTATATATCACCGCAAAAGAGGACATGCATCACAAAAGGCACCCACAATTTTTCATATGTTGATTTAAATGTTTATGTACAAATTTTGAAATAACTGCCCTGATTTAATTGGAATCACATCTCAGTCTTGTGGAGAAGACTGTGTTCCAGGTGCTGTCAGGAGCTGGAGTCAGGCATAGGTCAGCAATAAAACAATGAAGCACCCAATGCCAGTGAAGTTAACGTTTTATTCAAATAAACAAAACCACTCAGTCCTAGTGGTCACAGCAGCCCTTCCCAGTAGGTCTTGCCTCAATGAAGCAATTGTGAAGACTGAAGGTTCCTGCCTTCCTATCACTCTCTAAGGCAGATTTTTGCAAAGGTGATGGCTGGCATGGGATACCTACAACACCTAATTAATTTCAAGTGCTGCCAGGAATGTGGTTTATGCCACATTCATACCCCTGTCAATAACGCATGTTAGAAATCAGTCACTCCCATATATTTTCTGAGCAGGTGGGCTCTTTGTCGTTTGGCTCTGACTCTAGCTTCCCTGTTGTTCACCACCAGGCCCTACCAACATTTGTTGTCTTCCTGCCTTACACCATGCAACAACTTCCTTAATATTGACACCTAATTGGCTGCTTGAGGAAAGCGTGTGCTTATTCCTTACAGTCAACAACAGAAACAGAAAAATGGACTTTCCAAATATTGCTGAAACCCTGGCATCAGAGTATATTTCCATTTGACAGGTACATACATCACCCACAGGGGAAATCCTCAGAATTCAGTGGTTGTTTGAGGAATGGTAGTAGTAATAATAATATTGACTTGGATGTAAATTGCGCAATTGCATGTTCACTCAGAGTAAGAGAATATGGCTTTACTACAAAGACATACATTTGTATAATGTATTTTACTAGAAGCTTTTAAAGAAATGGTTTCAGAGACCAACAGTTTGGAGAATAATAATAATATTCCCAGAATGGTGCCAGCACTCAATGTGGTTTCCTCCCCTACTTAAAAACATGCTTTTAGCAAGATAATTGCACCAGACTCTCCTGTGAAAGGTTGCAAAAAACTGCTAAAAATCCAAATACAGACGCCACTTTTATCTGGGAAGGCACCTGTGCAGCTTATACTGTATGATAGGCAAAAGTACTATACTATAAGGCACCTCTTCCTGTCATTGTGGCATAGGGGCCCCACTAGAAAAGAAGTCGCAACTCAGTTCTAAGACAAAGATTACAGAGGGGGGGAACAGATCGTTCTGTGAGTCTAAGGGAAACGTGCATTATAGAATTTCATTAAACGCAACATTTGTCAGGTATACTATCAACGGAAAGGCAAAATGTATTTTTCTCATGTTGTATGTTGCCTTCAGAACATCAGTATTTTATGAGAGGGATTCGATCACATACCGGAAATTTAGGTTTGTGCAATTAAATTGGATTAAAGTGCTATGCTGCTTGGGAACAAGAAATCCACTTTAATAAATGACTTTTTGTCATCAGGAAAATGATGGGGAAATGAACTAAAAAGTGTAGAATAAATGACTGATTAACGGGAAGTCAGTTTAACTTTGCAGCAGGGCTGTGTTGCGGGCTGGCGAATGACTCTTTTCACATATGATCTGACTAGATATTTTTCTGATGCGTCCTCCTGCACTCGTCTGGGAGTTTGGTTTATTGTATGGTTTTGTAATTTATCATTTTTTAAAAAAAGAATGAGCTAAGATTCCATGCAATTTCCATAAAACAACACACATCTGCCCAGGTACACTTGGGGGGGATGAGGGAAAGGGCCTTCACAGTGGCTGCTCCCAGAATATGGAGAGTGTTCACTATCATCACAGCAGAGCAGGATCCATATTCTTTAATAGAATATTGATGTTTTGCACCACACAAGGCGTAAAATGAGCATGAAGCCTCATTGTGGAATTGGTGGGACTGAAAAAAGCATGCTTATGTTTCTCTAAGGCTGACCCTGTATGCTTCTTTAAGTGTAAGCATGTGAAAAACATGGCATGTGAGTCAGAAGAATCCAGGACTCCACCGCAGTTGCTCTCTCTTTTTGCCAACCAGGTCTCCTGTTTAAAACTGCATGCCATGAAGAAACTCAACAGCTGAATTTTTTATCCACCCCTGTAGCTTTATGACAACAAAAACAAAAAATATCTGTCCTGCCCAGGTCAGTGTTGCATTACTGCAGCAGTCGGTGTTCAACCTGACATTATATGTGGACAAGTAGGAACCAGGACATAAACTGGCATGTGATGCTACTTTAGAGCACCTTACTCCTACATGCCCTTTAATCTACTAGTGCCCTACCATGAGGAGTGATTGAACCCAGTTTAGCTGTAGTGCAACAACTAGTGGGAAAGTATTTGCACTGAAAAAATAATCCAGTCAGCTTAATAGGGCTTCATTCAATGAATACTGCAATGCAGGGGTGAGTTAGTCTCCAGGTGCACACTGGTATCCTATGAGAGTGGGTTTCTGCTTCTGCATCCAGATCTCCCTTGCCAGGGGGTCCCTGTAACCCACCCAGGGGGTCCATGGCACCATTCACATAACAAATACTACCATAGAAATATCAAAATAGGGGGTCCATCAAAATAGGGGGTCCGCATTAGCCAGTTGGGAACCACTGAATTATAGCATTAGCATCAATGAGAAAATGTTCAGAAATTGCAACTTGCTGCCAAAGGCCTTTATGTGACTTTATGGCCCTCCAGTGACTTGAACTGTACATACTGTACTTTGAATCATGTTGATAGTTCCACCACTCAACTACACATCAGTGCCTATAGTAATCAGACACCACAAGTTCCAGATTTCTAAGTTCAATAGAAAGGGTAACAAACCTGCTCTTCTCTCTCTCTCTTTTGTTCCATCCAAGTGGTAATATTTTTCACAGGCTATTCAACCCTTGCACCAATACTGCAGAAAGCCTTAGAGCTTATTTCTTTGCCGAGGTTTCCAAGCCAATTTTCTGTGCCAAGAGTTACTCAAGACTACAATAATAATACAGGAATCTTTACAGAACAATAGTCTTCATGCACAGCCAGAAATAAAGAAATATTATCTCTGAAAGGAAGCTGGGATTGTTGTCACCTTAGCCCGATTCTCTTTAAGGATCTAGTATATCAGCTATTTAAACAGAGCAGAATATTCATTAAACCAAGAGAGGAGAGGAGCTCAAGTTGATTCCTTTTTGGGATAAAATATACATTGGCGCAATGTTTCCTGAATTCTTAGGAGCCATCAGGCATTTACAGATGTCCAGCTATTGACCAGGATTATGATGCACTGTTTATGGCAAATTGTAATCCATGCAGTTGCTGTGTGATAACCAGATAGGAATATTTGCTAAATCAGGTTTCTGGACCTGAACCGTAATATTTCCTAAGGAACTTCAAACTTCCTCTGTGAACCTCTGAGCAAAATTCACATCTTCCAAAGATAACTAGGCCAAAATGACAAAATTAATTTCAGCTGAGATATATGTAAACATGTGCATTTAGATAGGAAGAAGCCAGTGCACAAATACACGGGTGACACTTGGCTCAAAAGCAACTCATGGGAAAAGGATATAGGAGTTGAACTTTAGTAGACCCACAAGCTAAACATGAGCCAGCAATGTGATGCAGTGGGGGGAAAGGCATATCCTGATTGCATCAAGAGACGTATACTGTCCATATTGTGAGAAGTAGTGGTACTGCTCTAATCTGATTTGGTTAGACCTCACCTGGTGCAATGCATCCAGTTCTGGGTACCATAGTTTAAGAAAAATATTGACAAACTGCAATGTGCCCAGAGAATGGCAGCAAACATGGTGAAGGCACCTGGAGATCCAGTCCTATGAGGAACTGGTAAAGGAGTTGGGAATATTATGCCTGGAGAAGAGATGTTTTTAGGACCTATGATTGTAAGTTGTTTTAAATTGTATTTAATATTGCGTTTTAATGCTGTAACCTACCCTGGGGCCTTAGGGTGAAGGGCAGTTAATAAATAATTGAATCTTCCCTATTTGAAGAGGGTTCACATTTTCAAGCCCCATTTTTCAAAAATTCACCCCATCCCAAGTGAAAACTGGCCAAAATATATGGACGCTGTTAGATGTGAGAGGTTACGACAATAACAAACTGCAAAGAGAAGCCTATAGGTGATCTGGATTTAAAATCCTCACCTATTGTTTTATTTTTTAACGAAAATCTGATTTCAGTCCTTTGATCTTCATTTCATGGGTTAATAGGGAACAATGTCACTATTCAGTGTGACTTCAGTTTTTCCTTAAATCAGCAACACCTTACCCACCGATATGTAAATAAAGCCACACATATGGAAGAATTTGTTATTCTTAGAGATAATTAAAGTTGTTTCCTACAACAGATGGCTGTTCATCGAAAACATATTGAGTTTGGAGCCCCCCCCCCCAAAAAAAATACTAAGTTCCAGTTATAAGGCTGCTGAACTGATTACTTATTCCTGAACAAGCTTCTCTGCTTCTTTTGTATATACAAGGAAAAGGATAAAGATAAAAGAATATCCTTGGCTGTCTGTTCTAGTTTATTTGACACATGCACAACATTTATTTGGCTGCAACTGTCTCAGCTGCAAGTCAGTGTAGGCAATACTGAGTTAGTGGATCAATATTCTGACTACATAAAAGGTCTTGTTCCCAAGTTCTGCCTGCTGCTCTAGTATTGTGCTCACACAGGTTCAAAATATGACACAAATGCCAGGATTTAACTGCATATAAAGATGTACCGATACTTTGTTTTGTGATGTCACTTATATCCCAATATAAGGTACATTTTTTAAAAAATGCTCCTTATTCTTCTGATTAAGCTAGATTTGGTGCAGTTCTCAGATCAAAATAAGATAATCCCTAGAGCACTTAATATGCTCCTGCTCTCCCACCTCCTGACACAGCTACATTTCAGCACTAGCTAGAGAGCTCATCTGAGTTTCTGGCACCAATACACGGAGGGCTCAGAGCCCAATTCTCTTGGCTATGTCAGGTATTAGAAATGGGGTGTCAGCAAGATGCAATGAGATCTAATGGTACTAAGGAAAATAGCTTGTTGGAGAGAAGAAATAGTAAATCACGTTTCAAGAGCCATGATGTAAGGTAATCATGTCTGGATGATTGTTTGGCTGTTGACTTGTCAGATTGTTCACAGCACTACCAAAATTGTAGTACATGGATAGTTAATACCACAGCTGCCTACCTAATAAAACCCCACATTACACAGTTGTGAATAATGGCCCCTTTACAGTGAGGGCACCACTTTGGCTCCCAAGTCCTCTTTGGTTTGGGGGAACACCAGTATCGTTCATGGTTTTATCTCAGCTGCTGCAGTAAAGTTTGAAATGTTTGAAATGTTCAGTTCTCCTAGCACAATATTGACTGAAACAACAATGAATTGCTGCAATAATATTTGGATGTGGCTACCCACAATTGTTTTAATAGCCAGAAAGTTCTTTTATATAGTCTGAGCAAGGGCCTGACATGATATGAATATGTGGTTGAATGTTTGGGTGTCAATAGGTGTGGGACAGTGCCTTATTACAGTGGTACCTTGGGTTAAGAACTTAATTTGTTCTGGAGGTCTGTTCTTAACCT